GTGTATGGATCCTGAGGGCCAGCGCCCCCGGCCGGTGGCAGCGAGGGGGCATCCCTTCTGGGGTGGGCCTGGCCAGGTGAGGCGTGGCTGGGGTAGGCGACGTCCAGCCAGGCCCCGGCATGCCGCTCTACCAAGTAGCAGTTGGCCACCACACCCCCATCCGAGGGACCTTGGGTGGGATGCTCTGCTCTCTGGAAGGATGGCCCATTGCTCTCGGTCTTTCGCTGCTTCCTCTCGCTAATCCGCTGTAGTTGTGGCGTGCTTGCGGGGTGTGTATTCCGGGTCAGGGCTCCCTGGCTGTGCGACCGGGCACTGCCCACCTCCGAACAGCAGCTTCCTGGTGCCTTAAATGGGCACGTGGTTCTTCCGGCACCGGGCTGGCCGATGCTGGCCGAGAACGCCTCAGGTCTGACCAGGGCTGCCTTGGGGTCGCTCTCCGACTCGTGGGGTCCCCCCTGATCCAGGAGCTCCACGTGAGCAGGGGTTTAGGCCACGGGCCCCCCACCCCCTACCCCCTCGCTCTGTGGCCTCGGGAGGGCCCTGTCCCCCGCCGCACCTCAGCTCTTATCTGCAGGTGGGGAGACCGTCCCGCTTGGGTCTGGGGTTGGGAGAGCCCTCTTGCTAATTGCCGGGTGCCCCGGAGGTGAGGGTCTTTGGTGGCGGGCGTCCTTCTGGCTGCTCCTCTGGGGCCACACTTGCAGCCTTTTCAAGTCCCAGGGGATCTGGTCGAGGTGACCAGACCCATCCTGAGCCGGAGGGTCAAGGGTGGGGCGGAAAGGCTTCTCTGGTGTCCCTGCCAGTGGTAGCTCCAAGAAGTGGGGGAGACGTGGGGATTCCGGGTTGCTGGGCCGGGCAGTGGGGGCCTGGTGGGTGCCTGACAGTCCCCCCCCCCTTCTCTCTGCAGGCGAGGCCTTCTTGGGCAGCTTTGTGGCCAGCGGGATGGGGCCCTCAGCCTCGTCCCACGGGAGCCCCGTGCCCCTGCCCTCTGACCTCTCCTTCCGCTCCCCTACCCCCAACAACCTGCCTATGGTGCAGCTGTGGGCCGCTCATGCCCATGAAGGTAAGGAGTGTGCCAGGCGGGCGGGGCTGAGGGCTGCGGGCCACTGTCCTTGGCACCTCTCCATCCTGCCCACTCCCTTCCGCCTCCGGGCCTCTCTCCTGCCGTGGCTGGGGGGTGGGGGGACAAGGCCTGGTCGTCCAGCTGCCCTGCTGCTCCTCAGTGCTTCCTCTGGTCTCTGTCATGGGGCCTTTGCCCAAGCTGTTCCCGCCGCCGCGGGCCCTCATCCACTGTTCATCCCTTAGGGCTCAGCTACCCGCGTCCCCACCCCCCTGCCCTGGCCCACCTCTCACCTGAAGGACAGGTTTATCTGCGTGTTTATTTGTGAGACATCCGTTTTCCCGCCAGAGTGAGCTCTGAGGGCAGGGCCTAGTTCTGGTCACCGCAGTCTCCCTGGGGACCCTCGATAAGCAGTGTTGGAGCAGTGGGACCAGGGTCATCGGGTCCTCCTGTTGCAGTTCGGCAGTGAGGGCCACGGTCCCCTCTGTCGGGGAAGGGATGGGCCTGAGGGACCCTGAGCTCTTCCCCCGCTCTGGCGGATTTTGGATGCTGGGTCCTGGGAGCCTCCACTGCAGACCCGAGGGCTATCTGGGGTCTTTCGCAGCGCACGGTCTCCCCACTTTCTCCTCGGTGCCAGGGGCTCACCAGGAGGGGGTGGTCCTGCCTCTCTAGGCCTGGGAAGGTGGGCAGTCTTTTGGGGCTGGGGTCCCACCTGAGCCTCCCTCTTCAGTCAGCCAGGGTGGGGCTGGAGGGACCTGAAGAGCTAAGACTGTGCCTCTGGTGCCTGCGTGCCACCAGCCTGCTCCTCTGCCCCTCCTGACTCCCTTTTCTTCCGTGTCACAAGTGCTATGCAGTAACGCATATGCAGTAACGGCTCCAAGCACGTAGGGTGCTTATTACTATGTACATTGCGTTGCACATCTGAACTCATCTTATACGCCCAGCAAGCCGTGAGGTAAGGACCGCCGGGTCCACTCTACAGCCGAGAAAGCAGAGGGATCCGATGCGATGTTTCAGTGCTTGAAAGAGATCATGTGTATCAGGTGCTCTTGATCTTTCTGGGGTTGTGGTTAATATCTTTAGCAGGTGGCGCCGTGGGAGAAACGTGGGCCCGGTGTGGCCAGGGACAGGTCCTGCATCTCTGGCCTCGGAGGGAACAACTGGGGGCACGTGGGACCCGAGTCTCAGGTGTCTCCGACTGGCCTTTGGTCCCGTAGGACCCCCCCAGCCCAGGCAGAGCATCAGGACCCTCCCCCGGTGCTCGGCAACCTGCCTGCTCGCCAGTTGGCCTGGCTTTCTGGGCCCTGCTCAGGGGCTCTTGGGCCTCCGTTGTGTGCCCTCTTGGATGTTTCCTTTCTTTTCTCTGTGGCTACCCTCTCCTGTCTTCTCCTTCCCACAAAGCCCCAATTCTGGGCATCCCTGGTGGGAAGGCCTCACCGGAAGGATCCTCACCAGGAGGAATTCTTTCCCGGCGGCACCTTCCTGGGAGACCTGACAGTTGGAGATGCTGGGCAGGCTTGAGTTCAGAGGTGATCGACCTGCTCTGGGTCACACAGCAGAAGGGACTCATTAGATCAGTAAACCACCCGACGTGGTCTGTGTGGGGCTGAGGTTAACTGTCCCAGTGACCTCCGTTCACAGTCGGGCTCCTCTGCTGTGTGACTTTGGGCCAGCGGTCCTCCCTGAGCCTGTTGTCTCATCTGTAAAGTGAGGATGTTAAGAGTATCCGCCTCGCAGAGTTTTGTGCTGCTGAAGTTTAAATGAGAATAACAAAGGCAAAACAGTTGGCAGCGCTTGGCCTGTGATTAGAGCCCCCATCATCATCATCATCATCATCATCATCATCCGCTGCTTAGTTGGAGCCATTCGGATCCTCTTCCGGTGGGGATTTGAGGGCTTAAGCGGCTGGGGGCTGGCCGGGCCTAGAGGGAGGCAAGCCTGCTCTACGGAGCTGGTCGTACATCTCAGGGCTCCCGGAGCCAGGGGCTCCCTCCACAGCTAAAAGATTTTATTTTCAAGGAAAAGAGCGGGATGGAAGGAAGTTCCTGTTGGGAGGCCATGCCTTGGGCCAATCCGACTTTTTCTCTCTTCCAGGCTTCTCCCATCTGCCCAGCGGGCTGTACCCATCCTACCTGCACCTGAACCACCTGGAGCCCCCCAGCAGCGGGAGCCCCCTCCTCAGCCAGCTGGGCCAGCCCAGCATTTTCGATACCCAGAAAGGTATTGGGGTGGGAGTGGGGAGATGGGTTGGAGGGTACCTTCTGAGGGGTTTCTCTGGGGGTCCCCACCACTACCCGGTATGCCAGGCAGCACCCCCTCTGTTTTCCAAGACCCCTGCTCCTGAGGGCCTCCCCAGCCCTCCACCCCCCAGCCTTCTGGTGCCTTCTAGTTGTGCTGTACTCGCCTGACCCTCTCTCTGTAGGCTCGAAAGACAACCCTGGCCTCTACCCCTTTCCCAGATGAGTAAACTGAGGCCCAGAGAGGTTAGTCGGTGGCCAAGGCGAGATTATGACCTCTAGACCCTCCATTTCCGGAGCCTGCCCTCCAAGGGCTGCGCTGTGCAGGATCGTCCTTCCTAACCCTGGGGTTGCAGGGCGCCCCTGAGGGGCCCTCCGCTTCTGCGTCGGCGGGGTGAGGGGGCACTCGCTCACGCCTGCACTCTTTCTTTTCCCCC